CCTACATATAAAAAATCAAAAGAAATGTAAACGTATATTCAATACAAGCAACAGTAAATGAAGTAAGCAATAAATCGCAAACTTTATATAAATAATGAACGTACCTGTTCGTTAGGAAAACCTTTGATACATCGCGTTTGATATTTTAAACTACTTTCTCGTCTCTGAAACATGCCTGCCATGTTTCTTAAATCCCAAATGCAAACTTTTCGTTTTGCCGTACCCACTACGAATTTGTCGCCACATACAGACAAGGCAAGGACAACTTCGGGCTGCAAATAACTACCAACGCAGGTAGGTGTTCGTGGATCCCACAGTTTTACCGCTGCGTCCCAACCACCAGTTAATATTGCATTTACAGCTGCACAATACTCTATTTTTCTAATTGGCTTATCATGTGTGCCCATTATTGATTCTACAAATATTTTCAATGTATATTTTCAATACAAATATAAAGTAAAATAATAAAATTAAAAAAAGATAACAGTACCAGTATTGCTATTTATGTCATACATTTTCAGAGTATTTCCTAAACCACCGCTATATGCATGAACAGCATCCTGCAAATAGTTTTGTAATAAACAAGAAAATTATCAGAATGAAAAAAACATGATTAAAAGTTTTTGGAAATATTAGACAATGCAATAAAAGAGCAATCATCTGAAGACTCATTCTATATGATTAAAGAGAAAAATTTTCAATGTGTGTTAACTCTGTAATGTAACAAATAAGCCCCTTAGTTGCCAAGTGGCATAAAGCTTATGCTTATAAGGTAGACTTATGTTACTTGTCAACTAAAGGGCTCAAATATAAATAAAACTAATATAATTTATACATATAAAGCACGATTTAAAGATTGTCTCCAGATAATTATACAATTGATCTAAACAAAAGAAACTAGTAACTTTAGTTACCTGAAACGCAACATCCAATACAGGTAAATCGTGATTATACTTCAATCTCGTCGTATTGGCATGTATGTCGTAGAGTCTCACTGTACTGTCCCATGATGATACCAATAGAAACTGTGTGGAGTTTGGTCCAAATTCGACTGCAGAAATTGCATCGGTCGGCGGTGACTTTATTTTAAATTCGGTTCTAGACTCCATTCTGCCAACAATACAGCAGTATTTACAAATAAATAAATGTAACACTCGTTGGGCGAGTTTTGACTAAAGCTTAGATATCTGTAGTTGCAACGAAAAGAGAATTATTTTGTTTTTTACTTTTTTTTACGAAAATAGTAGACAAACGCGAATATAAATACCTTGTTAAGATGAGTCTTCATGAACACAATATAACCTACAATCCCAATGGGCATGCAAATCCGGTTAAAATTTCTAACGTACTTATTTGGTACAAAAAAGCTTGAAGGATACAATTAAAAAGGAAACTTCAAGTTGTATATTACACGTTAACGATTATTGAGTAACGTAAATTTTTAAGTAATAAAATGAGAAAGTTTTTGAAGCACCACGGTTACACGTATTGCATTCCACTCCTCTTCTACCATATTCAAATATATTTATCTTTCGTCGATAATGTCAAATGTAATAAATATAACAAAATAACTACACAGAAAACAATTGTAATTTAAAAAATTTGATTTCCAGATAATTTTATATAATTATTTTTATACTACGTCACAAATCGACATATATTTATTGTTTATTATTATTATTTTAACAAATTAAATAATAAAATAATAATTTATTGGCTCGTAGCCCTGTTTCTCTTTATTAAAATAATAAATCATAAAATAATAAATTAATAATAATATAAAATAATGTCTATCATTTTTGGTCTTTTCTGTATTTTTTAATTCATATATGTGAAGTTTAATACAGAGAGAATATAAAGAGTTATTGTATATATATAATAATTAAATTTACATATAAGAGCGAAACAAAATTGACTACCATGGATAAATTACCCATCGGAAATATCTGTAGTTATCGTGCTACATAATTCATGGGGCATATTTTATACACATAGAGGCGCTAGTAATCGTGTTCTTCCTAAAACGCGGTGCAATTACGTCGTTGTCGTTACGTGCAGGTACGTGGGACTGGAGTTTATTCCTTTTCGGAGAGACTTTCAGTTTTCACATTGTGAAAAGAAAGTCCGCATTAAAAGTGATAGGACACGTACACGTACGTCGAACGTTTTGTCGAAATGGCGGATAAATCACGCCGTGTAGCGCAAACGGAAGATCTATCGAATGTCGAGTTTGAAACCAGCGAAGATGTCGAGGTTATCCCTACCTTCGACAACATGGGTCTCCGCGACGAATTGTTACGCGGAATCTATGCGTACGGTAAGTCGTTCACCGTTTTATCTCAGTTTTTGCAAGCACGACTTATTTTGTTTAGATTGAATTGTTAGAGCACATTTGGAAGTATCAGAGTTGTCCCACGCATCACTTTATCCTTGTTTAACATTCAGTAAACAACATTCACAAGTTTTTATTCCTACACTGAATTGCACTAAAACTTTCTGTTTTTTTAATATTAACTATATCTCATTTTAAGTTTCAAAAGTGTTTATTAGTTTAGACATGGAAAACATCTACAGGCACATAAAATGATATAGGGGCACACAGGTGATGTTTTCAAATTTAGAATAGTTCAGATTTTCATGTAATTATAAATAAAGCAGATTATATTTTGCATATATAATCGACCCAATACATGTACCTATTCCATGGAAGTGTTGATTATACCTTTGTCATAATTTCTATTTACTTATTCTTATGTTTATATAGTTAAATTGGTGTTTGTTATATTTTTCCTTATTTCTATTCTTTATAGCTTGGCTATCACATTGTTAAAGAACTTATAACAATGAAATTTATAACAGTTATTACTTGAACATTTTTAAACATTTTGTTTCTATTTCTATCTTCTATTAGGTTTTGAAAAACCATCAGCCATTCAGCAACGATCTATTAAACCTATTATGAAGGGCAGAGATGTTATTGCTCAAGCACAATCTGGTACAGGAAAAACTGCTACCTTCTCAATTGCGATATTACAGTCGCTGGATACACAAGTACGAGAAACTCAAGTTCTGGTTTTGTCTCCAACTCGAGAACTTGCCACTCAAATCCAGAAAGTTATTCTTGCATTGGGAGATTTTATGAATGTACAATGTCATGCTTGCATTGGTGGTACAAATCTTGGAGAAGACATCAGAAAACTCGATTATGGCCAGCATGTTGTATCTGGTACACCTGGTAGAGTATTTGGTAGGTACTTTATTATATATATACTTATTATATATATATAATTTTATTGTATACATATTTTATATTCAATGTAAAAAGGAATATTTAACATTTGTATAAAATTTTGAAACTTTTAGATATGATTAAGAGGCGGGTACTCAGAACCAGAGCTATCAAAATGCTGGTACTGGACGAATCAGATGAAATGTTGAACAAAGGTTTTAAGGAACAAATATATGATGTGTATCGGTATTTACCGCCAGCAACGCAAGTTGTATTAGTTTCGGCCACTTTACCACATGAAATTCTCGAAATGACTAGTAAATTTATGACAGATCCTATTCGTATCCTTGTCAAACGGTAAATAATTTATCTTTAATTTTTAATTTCACACTTGTATATATGTTATATATTGTGTATATATTCTAATTATTTCTAATTCCAGTGATGAATTGACACTGGAAGGAATCAAACAATTCTTCGTCGCTGTGGAACGAGAAGAGTGGAAATTTGACACACTCTGCGATTTATACGACACATTAACTATAACACAAGCGGTTATCTTTTGTAACACTAAACGTAAAGTAGACTGGTTGACGGAAAAAATGAGAGAGGCCAATTTTACAGTATGTTCTATGCATGGAGATATGCCACAGAAAGAACGAGATAACATAATGAAAGAGTTTCGATCTGGTCAGAGGTAGGTACTAAATTCCAAAGATAAAATTTTAAAATTGTTTTTTTTTACAAGAAATTATACCAACACGTTCCTTTTTTTACAGTCGCGTGTTAATTACAACTGATGTATGGGCGAGAGGAATCGATGTTCAGCAGGTGTCGCTCGTAATTAACTACGATTTGCCTAATAATCGTGAATTGTATATTCATAGAATAGGTCGATCAGGACGTTTCGGACGCAAAGGTGTGTCCATAAACTTTGTAAAAACGGATGACATCAGAATCCTTCGAGATATCGAACAATATTATTCTACACAAATAGATGAAATGCCGATGAATGTGGCTGATCTAATATAAAATTTGAAATTTATGCGAAAATCGAACATTTCATATGTACAAAAATTCTTTAACTTTGATTACATAATACACATAAAATCATATGACTTTATCAATAACAGCACATATGTACCAACAGTTTCCAAAGTCAGTTTTCTTGAAAACCCTTCAATGTTTAGCATCTTTGAGTTATTTTTAATATACTTGTACCTTTTAGTATAACTTGTACTATGCTTATAGTAATAGTAAACGGAGGAAGGTATTTCATTATTTTTACATTATATAAGTATTTAAAAATATTTGAATGTAATATGTGAGAAAACTAAACTAACTGTATTTTCCGCATTTGCTAGGACGCATTATTAATGACAGATTCTTTTATGAGAATGTGGAATAAATCTTTTTTTGTCGTATATGAATAGATATTACTTATGTATAAAATGATGTGTGAAGTAAGCGTAGATTTTGTCAATAAAGTATTTTATGACATTAATTAATTTTTTTTTTTCCCCCTATATAAATGTTAATTACGATATAGAAATTAGCGACATCGAAATGATGCATAACGTACATTCTATATAGCTATATACAAATAATCAATAACTGCTGTAGTTGCCCTACAGTTCAGATGGCGGTACGGCATAGCACAGTAACACGCGTTGAACCCGAAATGAAGCCAAAATAGAACAATCTCACGTTGACAATGCGTAATTATAAATACAAGTGAATATTTATCGCATTAAAAATGTGGACGAAATATTTAAGATGCAATAATCAATTAGTAATAAGAATAGTTATTTATTTTCGTGATAATAACATTGGAAGTGTGTTATGAATATGCAGCTTTAAATAATATACATATATATTGATTACAATATTTTAAATCAGAAGGTAAATGATATTAACAAAATTGAGAGTGAATAAACTAACAGTATAAGTCAATGTGTATGTGTAATTTCACACAGTTAATTTTTTTTATTCCTATATTAATAGGTTCTATAGATAATCAATATAAAAATTAATGAAAAATTGAAGGAAATGGAGCAACAAAATGATTGCTCTATCCAGAGAGGACAACCATTGCGTCGCTATCCAAATGACTACAAAGCAGAAGGACATACGTCTACCTGTATGTATGTCTATAAATTATTCTGAATCTATATAAACTGATATTTTTCAATACTTATTATTTTTGTTCCTTTCGTTATTTGCAGTAAATAAAACAACGACGAATCAGCCACAGTATTCGAATACAGGAAGACCTACAGTACGCATAGCTGTGTATCTAATGACAGGAGTATTTCTAACAATGGAAGTTGAACAAAATGCGACTGCACAACAGATTTTTACGATAGTGCAATCAGAAGCGGAGCTGGGTCTATCGAGATTCTCTTTGTCAACCACTATACCAGTTTTTGCACTATGGATGTGTTCTTCGCAGCTGGAAGTTCAATTACGTTTAACACATAAACCCGTGGAATTGGCTGCGAAATGGAATTATCTTGTAAACAAGTACAGTTCTCATACAGAAGACGATGAGGAACCTTTGTTATATTTTCGTAGAAATATATTTCTCTCAAAGTCGGAGGAAGAACAAATCAAGGATATCAAAGTCCTTGAATTGCTTTATGCAGAAGCTACGTACAACGTTCTGCAAGGTAGGGGACGAAAGAATAAGATCGTTTCTATAAAAATAATATAATTTCTCTTATAATATAATTTGTCTTCTGCCCAGGACGATACGCGTGCGATGGTCCTGCACGTTACGCTAGTTTAGGAGCATTACAAGCCCGAATTGAACTCGGACCTTATAATGCACAAACTCACACCTTGGCATTTTTCCATAGACATCGCGGCCGATTTTTACCGCATCATTACGCTTCTCCTAGTCTTCTATTAGGATTGGGACTCGGATTAGGACTGGTGGGTGGCAAGGGAGCACCTGAGGCGCATCTTTTAGAGCAATATAAACGAATACCTAATCATAATGGTAGCGCCAACGCAAATCCCAAGAAATTGATTAGAAAGTATCTCGAATTCTGTTGGAATTTACCGTGCTACGGCGCAGCCTTCTTTCAAGGGCAAATTGAGCGACCCGTCAGAGGCTTAGCATCGTGGATTACTAATCGCGATATGCAGATTCTCATCGCGATTAATACGTCAGGAGTGTTCATAGTCGACGACTTGCAGTGCGTAAGTACAGTACTCATTGAGCCACAATTCTCATTTAAATGTGATTATTTTAAATGAAACTTTATATATAAAATATATTTGTAAAGTATATAGCATAGTAACTTGAAATATATTTATGTAGAGCTTGCTATTAGGGCTAAAATATTCAGAATTAAGCTGGGAAATGGCGAAACCTTCGGATGAGAATAATCCGGATTGTCTACCTTGCTTGTTTCTGCAATTTCCGGTACGAGAGAACGGAGCGCGCGTCTACAAAATTCTACAAGTATTCTCAAGACAGGTAAGTCATTTTGAAAATAATATACAGAATTGTATTTTATGAGAATGGAATATCGTACAATGGAGATCGCTATTTCAGGCGCCAATGATGGATACTTTGATATCTGGATTTGCGGAGGACTATCGCCGTCAATTTATTAACAGCGACAGCAACAATGATCAGTTGGAACACTCGCTAGTTTTCCCCAGTGGAAGCTTCACAAATAAACTTAGCAAATTTACGCTGGCCACTTTTGATGATGAAGGTAACGAAACAACACTACAAGATCCTTATATATCAATTTATATACTTTTTGAAATTTTTTTTCAGGTCGATGTATCGGTCAAATGGGTTCGTGGTCCTTTCGATAAGTACATTGTGATTGTACATTTTGTGATGCCAATATACTCTCTAATGATATAAAACGAGTACGATTTTTGTAATATATAAGGAATTCTTATACACGCGAACTAATACACTTATATGTATACACATTTTTTAATATGACGTTTCAATGTTTCTGAAGTACTTGAAGATGCGGATTTTGCCGTAAACGATCTACCAGTATCCTGTATCTCTGTGGCACTACATCTCTATGCCAATTGAGATACGTTTCCAGCACGTGTATATTGAAGCTTATTTCGTTTATCTTGGCTAACATCTGTTCCTCCTCCGTTTTCGATAAATCCACAGTCTGCATGTAAATATTGTTTATAATAATTATATGAAAATACATCAATCATGTTACACATAGAAAAAGAGTGCTTGGGTGTGAACGAATGGGCGGAACAAAGCTTCTGACAAACCTGCATTAGAAGGCCTTGCATCTTTTCTAGTTCCGTGGCTTGCTTTTCAATCATATGTAAAATACGATTTGCTTTGTCAATGGACGCCTGCTTAAAATCGCTCAAACAATCGTCGCGCAGCAGATATGCTTCCGTTTTACTGATGTGCGCCGGGTTGCCTATTCTCGCTAGGTACGGTCCCAAATCGTTCGTCTCTTGCATAACTTCGCGATTACTCGGTTGTCTTATTCCTTTCTAAAAGTAGATTGTGAGACTGATTAATAGAAAAAAATTAGATTCAATTAGATCATTGATAAACACCGTATCTAATTCGATTTTCGTTTCGGTTATTCGATTTCTGTCGAATAATGAAATTGTAAACTGCGGATTTAAATTTTCATCGGCTCTTCTTCGCAGGAACGCCATGATGTCCTCTTCAGCATCTCTGACGTGGAGTATGGAGCGATCTTCGTCCTTCAGATGTTTATCGAGTGCATAAAAGAGATCGAGATTTTTCTCTGGTGGTGCATTCGGATCTGGCTGCAAGAAATAAAGACTTTGGATTATTTTATTTGCTTTTCTTATTTGTTAGTATTTTTGGTATAAGGGTAATTTACGTTATATCCATGAGTCATCGTAGGATCGAAAACTAAACGATCTCCTCTGTCCCCTATCGACGGTTTTATAAATGTACGAGTAGCCTGAGTAATCCGATCTTGTTCGTAATGAAATTTAATGCAGATTTCTTTTCCCATCACTGCGAATTCGCGCTCAGCCATGTCCTTGGAAGCCGGAACATCTTCATTCCTATGATACTTCTCAATGATTTTCTACAAGATGTAAAAAGAATCATCTCATGCACGCTGTACATTTTTCAATTTTTATATGAGATTACCGAGATATGTCGAGAATGAACGTCCACTGTCGTATTGTCTTGATCTACCAAAAATTCAGCATGTCTATTAAAATGATATGAAAATATTATTAATATTTATATTAGATTATTGATATTTTAATTTATTATTATTAACAAAAATAGTGACAATTAATATTACTTAAAAATTTGTTATGCATGCATTAAAAATGTGCAAAGCGCAGAAGATTTGATTTCCTCTTGATATGTTAAAATCTTTTGAGAGGCATGTTGAAAAGAAATATGATAGACGTTTATAGTAACCTCGATTTACCTGTAATACACAAAATCTTCACGGTCCACGTAATGTTGAGTCAAATAAAGCGGACCTATTTCGATTCGCGAGAGACCATCAAACTGCACGTTATCATAAAATTCTATTGTTCTTTCGCTATTTATCGAATCATTGTCGGATGCAAGATAACGATGAGCTAAAAAATATTTTATATCATTAATAAAAAGCGATACACACAGAGCAGGTGTATTGTATAACATTTTTATTCCGAATTGTACTTTTACAATGATCCGGTCGGCCCTTTTCAAAGAAATCTGTGACGATACCAGTAATGAAGTTCTTCCTGGATTCCGTAAGACAGTCAACTCTATTCAAATACTTCTCGTAACTTTCGACAGGAGTAGTATATTCGTAATCTTCGTAAACGGTTACTCTTTGAATTAAATTGTTAGTTTGAGAATATGGCGCATATAATTCTACTTTGGTCTTTCTGTAAAGTATTGTTTTACTGCCTCGTGGATAGCGTCTTTCAAAATCTATAAAAATAATGTATAGATAAATATGTATACTTGTAGCTCAGGTTATCGATATATCATTATAATTAATTTCAACTTTTTGATCATATGTATAATTTCATTTTTTACGAAAAGAATATGGAAAAAAGTATATTAATTATTCAATTAATAACGAATATCTTTTCGAACCGACAACAAAGATAAATTTTGTATAGTATAATATTATTATCTATTAATAGTATATTATTAATTATTCAATTAATAACGAATATCTCTTCGAGCCGACACAAAGATAAATTTTATATCTTAAATACATAAATTAATTTTTTTTAATAAAATAATAAAAGCTTTATTAAGAACTAAGATTAAGTAAATTATGTATAGCAGTTAGAAATTTTATTAAGTATATCATAGACATATTTAATCAAAAACTTATCTATTCGAATTAGATATATCTATATATGATAGCAGAATTCAAATTGAAATTTTAAATAACGGGGTATCTCCGATTCTTTAAATGAAATCGTTATTTCAAACGATAAATCCAAAAATCGAACGTGTGATAGTATTTATTCTGATTCTCTGAAATAAAAACATAATTAAGAGAGAGAATGGAATATTCGATTCGCTCGGGATGCCATTTTATTTTATTTTATTTTTTTTTATTGAAAATAAAAGAGGGGGATACAGCCACTAGGGGGAGCCTATCGGGCCGGTAAAACATAAAGGCGAAAGCACAAAAACAAATCCCTAGATAACTTAAGGCGCAATTACATGAGCGAGGAGAGTGTAAGGCTCCCCTGTGTTTGAAAGTAAAACGGTGCATGCCATTTTAGGAACGATATCGCAACTAGCGCCATCAGTCGGCGGCCTAACGCAACCAGTAGTCACATATAAGCATGACTTATGTCCTTGTGGTAAACGGCCCTAAAATGGCATCCTTCGACTCTCAGGTGATTCTGAGTTGTATTTAAAACGTCTGGGTACTTCTGTTCCCAGAATCGTTTTATTCTTACTCATCCAATGTCAAATAAGGATGATACATACGGGGCACTCGAGTATCGTTTCCGAATGCAACTCATGACGAAAATTTCATTTTTATTTCTGCATTATCAGACTTGATTCTACCTTCCTCCAACTCCTGCTTGTCCTTCAATTCCTTCATTAGTTGCGTTTAGCAGAAAAAGCAATTGTTGTGAAATTCTTTAATATGACTTGTGACGTTGCAGTTTCGCTGCATCGTCGCAGCGACCCTCGCCGTCACAAAGCGCGAATAGGCGCGGGACCCGGGCTGGGAATTGCGAGCGAGCGAAATCTCCAGGGGCTGTACTTAGTAATTTCGATATCGTTTTTTCTAATCCCCGCAATTTATTTGTATGAAAACTGAGTGGCGCCTCACTGAAGGAAGAATTCGGGATATCGTCAACGGGGAACCGGTAACATCGGAGGAACGAGTAGACAACGATGACCAGTACCGAGGTAGCGGCCGACAGACATGAGCCCGAGAGAGAGCTTCTTCTTCTTAATTAATGGCTCCTGTCTCCTTTAAAGTGAGCGGAGACAATACGGCCAGATCACGTCTGTGCAGATTACGTCTGTGGTAGAATAGTAATGGATGATGCAATGCCCGCGAAAATGGCGTTGCTCGAACGGCCACCTGACGCCTGCGTCTACGGCGTCGTCACACCGCAATAACGCGCGCCAGGAGTCCTAGTCGTCGAAATGTCGAACAATCGAGACGAGCCCATCCGCGGACACCCATCGTTGAGATTCAATTGCTCAGTCGAAGTCGGCAACACTTTCAAAAATATAAATTGGAAAGCACCCGAACCGAGACGCGTCCGTCTCGGTCGAGCGGTTCTTCGGAACTCATAGGCGCGGGCCCGACAACCGAGACTGCAATGGGCGAAACAGCGAGAAGGCGGGCAGTCGTTGGTAACCATGGTGGATTTCACCATGATGGCAACAGATAGGCTGCCGACGCCAATTAAGGGCCGGTTTATAATAGGCCGTAACCATGGAGATAAGAAATAACAGGAGGAAGGATATACCAGGATAACCAGACGTAAGGGGGGAACAATGAGCGCCATATTGGTGTAGCTTACTGAAGCGCGTCATTTGAAACAGTATGAAACGAAGAATGGAAAATTCATAAAGAATATTTATAAATATGATATATACAAATTTATATATGTGTCTGTGTGTGTGTATTTGTGCATGCGTGCATGAGTGTGCATATATACAGGATAGCTGAGAATAACCGCATAATATTTCACGGGTGGGTAGAACAGACTATACTGAGTCGAAAAGTCCTGTACCATTTTGGGATTGCAGCAATAGTTAACGAGATATTAATTTTTAAAGATTGGCAAATACGCGCGTTCGTCCAGCCTACCACACCATTGAGTGTATGTACATAAACGCACCGGCAGAAATGCTGTCCCTCGGCGTTCGACGCGCGGCGCTACGCGCTCGGTACGAATGTGTAGCGCCGCGCGCCGAACGCCGAGGGACAGCATTTCTGCCGGTGCGTGTACGCCTACAGAACACCGCGATGGGCGCGCGGGCCGCGGGAAGCGGATGTTTGGGGGCTAGCGTAGAGTTACTCATGATATAAAGACAAGGGTATGCTCTTGCGCATCGATAAATCACGTGACTGTCAACTGGCCAATCAGAATTGTCACCAAGTAACGTCATCATTACGCAGTAATTTCGAAATTATTATAATTTCTTTGCAATGTACATTATAAAAAATTACTATTTTACTATTTTTAAAAGTGTCAGCATAAAAAATAATCTTTTATTGAATTTTTTGTAATACATTAATACGCATTACTTTACTGAGATGTGAGATACAAAGTATAATATGTTTAAGTATATGTAAAGTTCATTTTGGACGGAAAAATTGTATGAAAGTAATATTTTATTAATTAAGTATGAAATAAACTTGTATGAAATAAACAAAAATTAATCTTATTATTATATTAAATTAAATTTTAATGATAACACATGTAAATTAATGTATATATTATATTTAATACATAAATTATTTTATTAAATTGATATTGTATTAATTTAAATATATAAAATTTTCCAAATAAATCAATTACATTAAACATTTTAATATAAAAAAAAATACGAAAAAAACATCATTATTTTTCCGGTAAATTAAAATGTATTATTTATCAATATACTTACAACGGTCTTTGCAGTACTTTAATTGAAATGTTTATTTTAAGAATAAAACGTATCATGTAATATATTGGTACTATATATGACATTATCTTGAAATTAATAATTTTTATATTATAAAAAGTCATTTTATTATTGTTGTAAACATTATCTTATAGAAGCGCGCGATTTATAAAACCCACTTTACATAATCAATAATTGAAAAATAGAATTTTAAAACAACATTCAATATTATGAGCGATTGTAAGAAATTATATTTTATTATGTTTGAATTGAACAAATAAGAAATAATTAGGTTCAAAAACATTGTTGTAAAACATTCAAGAAATATATTTAAGGAAGAGAGAATAATAGGTATGTGTAGATTACACATACACGCTACTTACGCTCATACACTATACTGTCTCAGATCATATATGTGCTCGCCAGGAAGTAAGATATAAGGAGACTCCACTCCGTAAAATAAAAATAATAAACTGGAAACTCTTGTCATTGTTAATATTAATTACTGCCTGGTTATTTTTGTCTGCCTCTGCCTCGTCCTCCGACATTGTTTCCTGCATATCGCGAACCACCCCCTCTACCAATTTCGTTAGCTGAGCTAGCTGAGCCTGTCCGTCGTGAATTCCGTTGCTCTGTAATTTCTTTGTCCGAGCGTAACATCTTAATTTAGTGCGAAGAGTGGCACGCTCTCTCGTGCCTGGCGCCCAACGAAAATTAGTACGGCTCGAATATCGTAGCACATAAAATTTAAGGAAGTACCGCACTTTTGCTAATTACATTATTGTGTCCATCTTGTGAGCTATCGCGTAAAAGAGCAGCGGATGAAGTGACGAAGTTGTGCCGTTCCTCAAAAGTACGGTCACAACACATACAGCTTTTAAAAAAGTATAAAATAAAAGAATTTTAAAAATAAATTTAAGACATAACCTTAAAAAAAAAATTAAAATTAAATAAAATTAAAAAACAAAGCTTTTAAAAGTATGAAATTAAATTAAAAATATAATTAATAAAAACTAATATAAGAAACTAAAAAGTGAATATAAAATTATAAACTAAAAAAAAATTAACAAACAAAGGTAATAAAAAAAATAAAAAACTGAAATATTAAAAACTAAAAAAATTAACAACAAAAAACTAAGAAACTGTATAAACTAAAAAAAACTAAAAATTTAAAAAAATAAAGATGTAGATTGTAATAAGGCTCAATAAAGGACCCCGCACTAAACAAATGGAAAATGGGTTTCAGTGGATTTGGCTAAAATTTGAATATGATGTAGTTAATGTGGTCCTGGACAAAAGTATGAATGGGCCCAAAGCTCAATAATGGCCAGTTTCCGAGTTATTCAACTCTAAAGTTAAATAAATCTGTATTTTTGGCCCACTATTTTTAAATTACACAGTCACATAAAATTAAGAAAGTGGCATGTGCCAAAGACTAGACCTATGTTTTCGTAAGTATTTTGACGTGCTGAATCCAAATCAGGGATCAAAATTGACCACCACTATGTCAATTTTTATTAAATCGTGAAAAACCACCCTTGAAAATGTAAAATTCCATTGTAACTGCATTCAGCGTTAGGTATAAGTGTGGGAACCGACTGAAAATGACTGCAACATCCAACTTATATGTATTTTGGCGTGCTGGATCCAAATCCCCGGTCAGAATTGACCATCACCACACCATTTTATTTTAAATTGCTAAAAACCACCACCTTTGACAATGGCTGTACGTGTGATGAGCATTTAGATATAAGTATGGTATAATAATTACTATTACCTCCGGTATTTTGAGGCGATAATACAATCTATTGCATTATAAGCAGGCATACCTACACATTACCATGCCTGTCTACCAAACTCATCTCGTTTCCGTATAGCAATTTCCATTTTGGCAGCATCCTCGGCTCTGTCGATACGAGTCATTAGACGAGGTGCAAACTGAACATTACAAACGTAACACGTTAACCAATTTCGAAAGGCCATTGCCAACATATATTTTTAACTAGTGAAAGATTATTACTTATTGTCACAAACTATTTACATATGTATACTATAAAATACATAAAGAATACAAATATACTATAACTATATACTATAACTATATACTATACTAAATATACTATAACTAACACGGGTAAGTCACGCTAACATGTCACCTCTAAAAAAAAATTACCTGAAAAGTTATTTGTAATTCTTAAAGATCGGCGTAAAAATTTTGGACACGCTCGAGAGACATGTAAAACTTAATATTTATTACAATTTAATGAAAAGATTGTTTTATGTACTCTGCATAATACATAATGTGTATTTCATAAGTTTCAGCAAATTATGGGGTGGTGCATCGCATGCGAGGCAAAGACTTCAAAAGGAATAAAAGTCTGCTACTTCCCTAAAGATGCAAACCGGAAAGAAATATGGGTCCGGAATATTGCAAAGGAGGATTGGATATCAACGAAAAATTCCATTCTATGCGAGGTATGATGAATACATATTATTTAAAGATCAAGTGGTTGAGTTAAAAATAAAAATAAGAAGAAGGAGCATATACCACACGCTGGTTAAAAGTAGCGAAAATTTCGTATATTTAATACTACTAAATTTACATAATTATAATAAACGTTTCGGTCATTAATGTGACCATCTTCAGTATAAAAAAATTTATAATTTAATTCCCTAATATATTTTAAATGAAACTAAGTGCTAGAGCACAACTTTTCGCATGTTTGTCAATTATTCTATACTATAAGATATTAAACAGTTATAATTTGTCAAAATATAAAAGTCAATTCGCAATAAAATGGTGTC